TGCGGAAGCAGTGGACTGAGTCTGGAGTAGAAACATCCAGAGCCACCGTGCACAGGCGTGTGCAGGAAATGGGCTACAGGTGCCGCATTCCCCAGGTCAAGCCACTCTTGAACAAGAGACTGCGTCAGAAGCATCTCGCCTGGGACTGCTGCTGAGTGGTCCAAAGTTATGTTCTCTGATTACAGTAAATTTTGCATTTCCTTTGGAAATCAAGGTCCCAGAGTCTGGAGGAAGAGAGGAGACACAGAATTCACATTGCTTGAGGTCCAGTGTCAAGTTTCCACAGTCACTGGGGTGTCATGTCAGCTGCTGGTGTTGGTCCACTGTGTTTTATCAAGCACAGGGTCAATGCAGCTATCAGGAGATTTTGGAGCACTTCATGCTTCCATCTGCTGAAAAGATTTATGGAGATGAAGATTTCATTTTTCAGCACGACCTGGCACCTGCTCACAGTGCCAAAACCACTGGTAAATGGTTTACTGACCATGGTATTACTGTGCTCAATTGGCCTGCCAACTCTCCTGACCTGAACCCCATAGAGAACCTGTGAGATATTGTGAAGAGAAAGCTGAGAGACGCAAGACCCAACACTCTGGATGAGCTTAAGGCCGCTATCGAAGCATCCTGGGCCTCCATAACACCTCAGCAGTGCCACAGGCTGATTGCCTCCATGCCACGCCGCATTGAAGCAGTCATTCATGCAAAAGGATTCCCGACCAAGTATTGAGTGCATAACTGAACATGATTATTTGAAGGTTGGTGTTTTTTGTATTAAAAACACTTGTCTTTCATTGGTGGGATGAAATATGCTAATTTTTTGGGACAGGCATTTTGGGTTTTCATGAGCTGTATGCCATAATCATCAGTATTAAAACAATTAAAGACCTGAAATATTTCAGTTGGTGTGCAATGAATCTGAAATATATGAAAGTTTCATTTTTATCATTACATTATGGAAAATAATGACCTTTATCACAATATGCTCATTTTTTGAGAAGGACCTGTAAAGGTGAAGCAGTTCAGACAAATAAGAAGGACTAAGACCGTTCAAAGACTTAAAAACAAACAATAGAACTTTAAAATGGATTAGAAACTGGACAGGAGGCCAGTGAAGGGACATCAGAACTGGAGTGATGTGCTCACACCTGTACCAGTCAAAAATCGCGCAGCAGCAATTTGTACCAGCTGTAACCGTGAGAGCGAGGCCTGGCTAACTCCTATCAACAGAGAGTTACAATAATCCAGGTGTGAAGTAATAAAAGTGTGGATTACTGTCTCTAAGTGGTGTCTAGGAAGGAGGGGCTTGATTTTTGACAGGCGCCTCAGCTGAAAGAAAGAGGACTGAACCATGTTGTTGACATGGCAGTCAAGTTTGTTTGTGTGTGTGTGTGTGTGCGTGTGTGTGTGCGTGTGTGTGTGTGTGCAAGAGAGGTACAAATATAAACTACAACATGGAAACAAAGTTCGCCTCACTTTGTTTTTTATTTGTTAAAAAAGTTTGACACATCCAATAAATTTCATTCCACTTCACGATTGTGTCCCACTTGTTGTTGATTCTTCACAAAAAATTACAATTTTATATCTTTATGTTTGAAGCCTGAAATGTGGCAAAAGGTTGAAAATTTCAAGGGGGCCGAATACTTTTGCAAGGCACTGTAAAAAATCCTTCACCAGCAGCTTTCCAGTGCAACACACGTGAATATTAAAATCTCCAATAATTAAAACTTGCTCATATTTAGATGTAAAATCACCCAAGAAATGAGAAAAGTCCCATATGAAGTCCTCCTTATACTTAGGAGGCCGGTAGATGACGGCACACAGAAGCGGAGGAGCGCAGCCCAACTTAAACATGCTCATCCAACAACTTTCAGTCAGGTCATCTGGATAGTTTCTTTTTTTGCTGAAATGTTTCATCTTCCATCCAGAAGGCTTCATCAGTCAAAGAAACACACAACACAAAACTGATTCTTCACCCAAACAGCTTACTCCAAAGTGGAACAAACCAGTTCTGCTGGTGCTAAGATGGTGTATTTGGCACGCCCCCTCCTATTGTGCCAGCCCTCTTCCTCGTCGACAGAGGAAGAGGGCTGGCACAACAGGATGAGCAACCTCGGGGTAATAGTTTAGAAAAAAACACTGGACTCACCTGGAGAAATCCAAGTCTCAGTCACGCAGACAAAGTCCAAACCCTGGGATGAATAAAAGTTTTGAACAAAAGTTTTGTTTGTAACAGATCTTGCATTTACCCGACCTGTCCTGATGGGAACTGGGTCCAGCGAAGCAGTAGAAGGGATAATCCGTGCAAGGTGTCGCAGATTTCTGAGGTTGGCACCTTGCCAGCGCAGATGTGGAGGAGTGAGACATGGAGGAAAGAAGCGTTGATCCGAGTCGATAACAGGTACCAGCCAGGAATCAACAGAGTCCAAAGAGCGCCAAGAAGCATACAGTCCAGGGACTGATCCAAGCTGGGAGAGGAAGATTCCCAGCGATTTTGCCACACCAGTCCTCAGCCTCACCAAGAGCCCGCCCCGTTTACCTCGACACTGGTGATGCCTTCTCTGGTGAGGGGGGTGTGGTGCCTGACACAGGTAAGATGGAACTCCGGCCAATAGTGGGGGCAAAGAATCGTGTTTTCATGACAGCGATATAAAACTTTTGCAGTAGGCAGACGAAACCCCAAAAGGGTTTGGCAATCATACACCAGTAGAGAGTTCACCTCAGAAAAACAGCACAGAAACAACAATAAAAACAGAAAAATAGAGAGCGGTAGACGACTCGCCAAACACACTGGCGCCATCTTGCCACACAGGTGCACTGGTTCTGATTATAACCTTAAGGGAATGGGAATGTTGGTAAAACCTCCATTGAGAACTAGTCTGAAGGAGCGCTGCGCTGTAATTCAGGAAATACGATTGTGGAATGGCCTTGATATCACCATAAAAATTTATAAACAATTTTCATGTTCAAAAAGATGATTAAGTTAAAATTGTATAGAAAGTATGGTGCCAAGTGAAGGATGCCTGATGTTTTTTTGTTTTCACTTTTGAGATTGTTCAATTCTAAGTTGTTGTTTGTTTGTACCATCGTTATTTTATTTTTTTATTTTTTAAATAAGAGGCAGATATTATAAGAATTTTCTTCCTTCTTTCTTCACTTTTTTCATTCATTTTTTTTAATGAATGAATAAATGAATTAAAACATTTTTATTCCAGTTCTAAAAACTATTTTAGTAAATCTAAGGTTTAAGAATTTCATATCCTCATAAAATTTAGATTTAATTAGTTTATTTCTCAGTGGGTGCTGAGAGCATCTGAAAGTACGATGCTAAAGCATCTCCAAAAATAGTACGGGTGCAGAAAACGATCCATTAAAGAAGATTCTTGGCGATTCTGAATCGAATCTAAAAGCCCGTAAATTGATGTTAAAATGTGTTTGTTTTATTTTTTCCACTCCTACTGCATATCACATTACGTGTCCACCCGTCACCATAGAATTTGGCCTTGTAGGCCACCGTACAGCAAGCTAGTAAGCTAGCTCTCTTGAATGGAGTCTGCTAGCATGAAGCAGGAGGACAGCATGATTCAACCCACTCTTTCGACATTAAAAGTCAGTGTAAAGTCATTTTAGATTCTACAATGTTTAGGGAAAGACAGATTGACAAGAGCACAGTTGTTTGCAAGAAGTGTAAAATAAAACTGCGGTACAGTATTTCGGAAATACGACAAATGCACGGAAGGAAGGTGAATAGCTTTAAAGCACCACTGATAAAAATGAAAAATGACTTACCCCGTTTTTGCATGAAACTAAAAAGGTCATCAAGAAACTCTTTGCGCTTTTCATCATCATCCAGTTCGTACAACTGAAACCAGAAAAAAATAATAATTCAAAATTTGACAACAACAAAAAAAAAATGTTTTAATCGGTGACAAAAACTAGTCATCCAAACAGGTATAGATGAGTTCATGAAAATACTATAATAATATTGATAATAATAATGATAATAATAATGATGATAATAATAATAATAATAATAAGGAAACTTAAATTTTTTAGTACAAATTTGATCCAAATCTTAAACTGCAGGAGGTTGTCCATCCATCCATCCATTTCTTCCGCTTATCCAGGGTCGCGGGGGTAGCAGTTTAAGTACGGAAGCCCAGACTTCCCTATCCCCAGCCACTTGGGCCAGTTCCTCTGGGGGAATCCCGAGGTGTTCCCAGGCCAGCCGAGAAACATAGTCCCTCCAGCATGTCCTGGGTCTTCCTCTGGGTCTCCTCCAGGTGGGACGTGTCCAGAACACTTCAAACAGATGCCCGAGCTACCTCAACTGGCTCCTCTCGACGTGGAGAAGCAGCGTCTCTACTCTGAGTCCCTCCCAGATGATCGAGGTTCTCACCCAATCTCTAAGGGAGAGCCCAGACACCCTGCGGAGAAAACTCATTTCGACCGCTTGTATCCGAGATCTCGTTCTTTTGGTCACAACCCAAAACTCATGATCATAAATGAGGGTAGGAACGTAGATCGATTGGGAAATTGAGAGCTTCGTCTTTTGACTCAGCTCTCTCTTCACCACAACAGACTTGTACAGCGCCTGCTTCATTGCATATGCTGCGCATATCCGCCTATCAATCTCACGCTCCATTTTTCCCTTATTCGTGAACAAGACCCCAAGATACTTGAACTCCTCCACTTGGGGCAGGACCTCCTCCCTGACCCAGAGAGGGCACTCTACCCTTTTCCGGCTCAGGACTATGGCCTCGGATTTGGAGGAACTGATCTTCATCCCGGTCATGTTGCACTCAGCTGCGAACCGCTCCAGCGAAAGCTGTAGATCACGATCTGATGAAGCCAATAGGACCACATCATCTGCAAAAAGTAGAGAAGCAATCCTAAGGCCACCAAAACAGATCCCCTCAAAACCTTGGCTGCGCATAGAAATTCTGTCCATAAAAGTTATGAACAGAATCGGTGACAAAGGGCAACCTTGGCGGAGTCCAACCCTCACCCAGAACAAGCCCGACTTACTGCCGGCAATGCGGACCAGGCTCTGACACCAGTCATACAGGGACCTAACAACCCATCTCAAAGTACCCGGTACCCCATACTCCCAGAGTACCCCCCACAGAGTTCCCAGAGGGATGCAGTAGAACTTCTTCTCCAAGTCCACAAAGCACATGTAGACCGGTTGGGCAAACTCCCACACAGGCTCCAGGACCCTGCTGAGAGTGTAGAGCTGGTCCAGTGTTCCACGACCAGGACGAAAACCGCACTGATCCTCCTGAATCTGAGGTTCGACTATCCGAGGGACCCTCCTCTCCAGAACCCCCGAATAGACCTTACCAGGGAGGCTTAAGAGCGTGATCCCCCTGTAGTTGATCCCCATCCCGAGTTGAGGTCAGCAGCACCCCCCCCCCCCCCCCCCTATAAACAGTGTTGGTGGTGTACCACTTCCCCCCCGAGATGCCGGATGGTGGACCAGAATCGCCTCGAAGTCGTGCGGAAGTCATTCTCCATGGCCCCTTTGAACTCCTCCCATGCCAGAGTTTTTGCCTCAGCGACCACCCGAGTTGCATGTCGTTTGGACTGTCGGTATCCATCAGCTGCTTCCGGGGTCCCACAGGCCAAAAAGGCCTGATAGGACTCCTTCTTCAGCCTGACAGCATCCCTCACCGCCGGTGTCCACCACCAGGTTTGAGGGTTGCCGCCGTGACAGGCACCGACAACCTTGCAGCCGTAGCTCCGGTAAGCTGCCTCGACAATAGAGGCATGGAACATGGCCCACTCAGACTCAATGTCCCCCACCTCCCTGGGAACATGTTTGAAGTTCTCCCGGAGGTGAGAGTTAAAGCTCCGTCTCACAGGAGACTCTGCCAGATGTTCCCATAAAACTCTCACAATACGTTTGGGCCTGCCAGGTCTGACCGGCATCCTCCCCCACCATCGGAGCCAACTCACCACCAGGTAGTGGTCAGTTGACAGCTCCGCCCCTCTCTTCACCCGAGTGTCCAAGACATGTGGCCGCAGATCAGATGAGACGACGACAAAGTCAATCATCGAACTGCGGCCAAAGGTGTCCTAGTGCCAAGAGCACATATGGACACCCTTATGCTTGAACATGGTGTTTGTTATGGACAATCCATGACGAGCACAGAAGTCCAACAACAGAACACCACTCGGGTTCAGATCGGGGGGGCGTTCCTCCCAACCACACCCCTCCAGGTCTCACTGTCATTGCCCACATGAGCATTGAAGTCCCCTAGCAGAACAAGGGAGCCCCCAGGAGGTGCACTTTCCAGTACCCCCTCCAAGGACTCCAATAAGGGTGGATAATCTGAACTGCCGCTTGATACATAAGCACAAACGACAGTCAGAACCCGTCCCCCCACACGTAGTCCGAAGGAGGCAACCCTCTCATTCACCGGGGTGAACCCCAACACATAGGCACCAAGATGGGGGGCAATAAGTATGTCCACTCCTGCTTGGCACCTCATACCAAGGGCAACTCTAGAGTGGAAGAGTGTCCAACCCCTCTCAAGGAAACTGGTTCCAGAGCCATGTGTAGAGGTGAGTCTGACTATTTCTAACTGGAACTTAACCTCACACACCAGCTAAGGCTCCTTCCCCACCAGTGAAGTGACATTCCATGTCCCAATAACCAGCTTCTGTAGCCGAGGATCAGACCGCCAGTGTTCTTGCCTTCGGCCACCACCCATCCCACACTGCACCCGACCCCTTTGGCCCCTCCCACATGTGGTGAGCCCATGGGAAGGGGGACCCACGTCTCCTCTTCGGGCTGTGCCCGGCCAAGCTCCATGGGTAAAAGCCCAGCCACCAGGCACTCGCCAGCGTGCCCCACCTCAAGGCTGGCTCCAGAGTGGGGCCCCGGTGACCCATATCCGGGCGAGGGAACATTGAGTCAATTTATTTTTGTCATCATAGGTGTTTTTGGGCTGCACTTTGTCTGGTCCCTCACCTAGAACCTGTCTGCCTTGGGTGACCCTACTAGGGGCATGAAGCCCCTCACAGCATAGCTCCTAGGATCATTGGGACACTCAAACCCCTCCACCACAGTAAGATGGCAGCCTCTCCCTGGGCTGCCACCTTACCATTGCATTGTGGTCTAAACAGTTGTTGGTTTGTTGAAATAAACTTCTTATAGTGTTCAGACGGCACACTGGCTCATTTGGTAGAGCTGCTGCCTCTCAGCGAGAAGATCGCTGGTTCAAATCCTGGCCCAGGGCCTTTTGGGTGGAGTTTGCATGTTCTCTCTGTGCATGTGTGGGTTTTCTTCTGGTACTCCAGTTTCTTCCCACAGATCAAAAACGTTGGTTACGTACTGTAACCCCAGATTGTATGAGTATAGGCGTAGCCCTTTAAGAGCTGTCGCTTAGTGGGTTTATCCCATCATGCAAAGCATCGCACTGAAAAATTTAGTCCACGCCCACCTACTGTGTGGGCCCCACCCGGTCCGTATAAATTACATTAAGAGCGGGTAATCGGCTCCCAAATAGCTTTTTCTTCAGCCATTTAGGAGCCAGTGAGGCCCGACGCTTAAATGGCTATGCCTATAATCATAGAATCTGGGGTTACAGTGCGTAACCAACGTTCTATTTCGTATAGGCTTGCCCTTTAAGAGCTGTCGCTTAGTGGGTTAAGGGCGAAGCAGATGTGGTCCTCGCCTCACTGGGTCCATTCGAACACCGTCCTAAGCGGCAGCTTGCCCAAAAAACGTCTAGTCACTCAGCTCTCCATGTGCGTAATTGCGCGTTGCGTAATTATGCGTACCATGCACAGACACATGCTGTGTAGTTATGCATTCTGAGTGCATGAACACCCCGGAAACTTTCAACGGGGAAATGAAGATCCTGAAAAAGGGCCATGAACCAACAGATTCACGGCTGAACAATATGAACAGATTAATAATAACAAGTGAACTGATTATTAATCAAATGAACTGATTGGTAACAATAGACATGAACTGATTAGTGACAATAGAACCAAAATAACAGTCACAACTTGTGACTGATAACAACATCTCACACTCTCACCCAGTCGAAGATGCAGTACCCCTGGTCGAGTGCGCCCGGAGGTTGACAGGAGGCTCTAAATCTGATGCTCTGTAGGCTTCAGAAATGGCCTCACACAGCCAGTATGACAGGTGCTGGGTGGATAACGGGTGACCTGCAGATGCATCTCTATAATGCACAAACAAATGTTGAGTTTGATGCATTGCAGCTGTGCGCGCTATGCAACACGTCAACGCCCGCACAGGACAGAGAAGATGGAAAGATGTTTCCTATTCTGATTTGTTGGGAGGAGGGAAAAAAACCCTCCAATGATATCACTCTTGATTTAAAAGAGCTTGTGATGTTTTAGGCATAAAGGCTGGATTTGGTCTTAGATCAGCTGAGCTGCCATCAGCCTGAATTCTGAGACATGACAGAGCAACAGAGAGGGCAGATAAATCACTCACCCTCTTAGTGGATGTTAAAGCCAGCAGCAGGGCTGTTTTAAGAGACAAGAATTTAATTGAAACCTGATTCAGTGGCTCAAATGGAGCTTTGATCAGGGCCTGCAGGACCAGCGTTAAATCCCACTGTGGAGCAAGTGGGGGTGAAAAAGGCCTGCGTCTCTTTACACCTTTTAAAAAAACGCTTCATCAGCGGATAATTAAAAGCTGTTCTGTCCTCGAAACCTTCGTGACAAGAAGAGATGGCTGCAGCATACGTTTTAATCGTGCTGAACCAGGAACCATCGTGCGTTCACTCGCTCGGGAGCCACCAGGAGAGCTGTCAATCCCTCCTCCTGAACTCGGTTCAGAAACTGTAATATCAGAGGAGGTGGGGGGAACGCGTAAAG